AAGTCCCCACACTCCCCAGTCCCCCCCAATGTCCCCAATCCCCCCAGTGTCCCCAATCCCCCCAATGTCCCCAGCGCCCCCAATGCCCCACCATCCCCGCTGTCCCCAACGTCCCCGTGTCCCCGCAGATGTGCCACCTGCTGCAGCACCTGTGCGAGCGGGAGCTGCAGCACCGCGTGGAGGCCATCGTGGCGTTCTCGGAGCGCCACGTGCAGCGGCTGCAGCGCGACCAGCGGCGCCGCTACGGCCGCCTGATGCGGGCACTCACCATGTCGGCCGCAGAGACCGCCCGGCGCACGCGGGAGTTCCGGTCACCCCCCCAGGAACAGGTGGGGACACAGCGGGGACACACAGGGGACACACGGGGGACAGCATGGGGACACACGGGGGACACACAGGGGACAGCATGGGGACACACGGGGGACAGGGTGGGGACACAGCGGGGACACACAGGGGACACACGGGGGACAGGGTGGGGACACAGCGGGGACAGCATGGGGACACACGGGGGACAGCATGGGGACACACGGGACACACAGGGGACAGGGGACAGAGAGGGGACACACAGGGGACAGAGAGGGGACACACAGGGGACAGAGAGGAGACACAGTGGACAGGGTGGGGACACACAGGGGACAGCATGGGGACAGATGGGACAGGGGACAGGATGGGGACACACGGGGGACAGCATGGGGACACACAGGGGACAGGGTGGGGACATAGAGGGGACAGTGTGGGGACACTGCAGTGACAGAGTGGGACAGTGTGGGGACACGGGGACAGTGTAGGGACACGGGGACAGCGTGGGGACAGCGTGGGGACACGGGAGCAGTGTGTGGGGACAAGGGGACACGTGGGGCACACAGGGACACGCTTGGGGGACGTACAGGGGGTGATGGCTGGGGGGTGGTGCCACTCCTTGTGTCCCCCTCTGTCCCCATGTCCCTCCATGGCCCCCCATGTCCCCCCACATGTCCCCACATGTCCCCACATGTCCCCGTGTCCCCAGATCAACATGCTGATGCAGTACAAGGCAGGGGCTGAGGATGAGGAGTGTCCGGTGCCCGGGGACATCCGGGACGAGCTGCTGGACTTCCACAATGACCTGCTGGCCCACTGCGGTGAGGGGGGACACAGGGACACCCCCCGGCCTTGGGGACACCTCCTGGCCTTGGGGACACCCTCGGGACCCTGGGGACACCTCCCTGGGCTTGGGGACACCTCCCCGGCCTCGGGGACACCCCCCGGCCTTGGGGACACCTCCCGGACCCTGGGGACACCCCTCAGCCTTGGGGACACCTCCCTGGGCTTGGGGACACCCCCAGGGGAGCGGGGACCCCCCATTCTGTCACCCCCATGATCCCACCCTGGGAGCCTGAGCCCCCCGGCCTTGGGGACACGGCTGTGACCCCCCCTTGGGGACATGGCTGTGACCCCCCTTGGGACATGGCTGTGACCCCCCCTTGGGGACACTGCTGTGACCCCCCTTGGGACATGGCTGTGACCCCCCCTTGGGGACACTGCTGTGACCCCCCCTTTGGGACACTGCTGTGACCCCCCTTTGGGACACGGCTGTGACCCCCCCGGCCTTTGGGACACTGCTGTGACCCCCCCTTGGGGACATGGCTGTGACCCCCCCCTTGGGGACACTGCTGTGACCCCCGGCCTTGGGGACACGGCTGTGACCCCCCCGTGTCCCCCAGGCATCGAGCTGGCGGAGGAGGAAGAGGAGGAGGAGGAGGAGGCGTCGCTGCGGCAGCGGCTGCTGGGGCTGGCACAGAGGGTGCTGGGGGTCCGCAGCCCCCCCAGGGAGGAGGAGACCCCCCCCGAGGAGCCCCCGGTGCCCAGTAAGGAGGGGACAGCGGCGGGTGGGGGACAGGGGACACTCGGCTCCGCCCGGGACGTGGCCAGGGTGTCCCCAAGGTGACAACCCAGGTGTCCCCAAGGCTCTGGCCAAATCGTCCCCAAAGCGACAACCCAGGTGTCCCCAAGGTGACAACCCAGGTGTCCCCAAAGCGACAACCCAGATGTCCCCAAGGTGACAACCCAGGTGTCCCCAAGATGTCTCCAAGCTGAGCTGACCCTGAGGCTCTGGACAAATTGTCCCCAAGGTGGTGGCCGAGATGTCCCCAAGGTGCTGTGCAGGAGCTGATCTCTCACACCATGGTGCACTGGGCGCAGGCGTCACTGTGTCCATGATGTCCCCAGTGTCCCCAGTGATGTCCCTGCTGTCCCCAGGCCCTCTGCAGGAGCTGTTCTCTCACACCATGGTGCACTGGGCGCAGGCGTCACTGTGTCCATGATGTCCCCAGTGTCCCCAGTGATGTCCCTGCTGTCCCCAGGCCCTCTGCAGGAGCTGTTCTCTCACACCATGGTGCACTGGGCGCAGGCGTCACTGTGTCCATGATGTCCCCAGTGTCCCCAGTGATGTCCCTGCTGTCCCCAGGCCCTCTGCAGGAGCTGTTCTCTCACACCATGGTGCACTGGGCGCAGGCGTCACTGTGTCCATGATGTCCCCAGTGTCCCCAGTGATGTCCCTGCTGTCCCCAGGCCCTCTGCAGGAGCTGTTCTCTCACACCATGGTGCACTGGGCGCAGGCGTCACTGTGTCCATGATGTCCCCAGTGTCCCCAGTGATGTCCCTGCTGTCCCCAGGCCCTCTGCAGGAGCTGTTCTCTCACACCATGGTGCACTGGGCGCAGGAGTCACTGTGTCCCTGCTGTCCCCAGGCACTCTGCAGGAGCTGATCTCGCACACCATGGTGCACTGGGCGCAGGAGTCGTTCATCCAGAGCCCGGCTCTGGTGCGGGCCATGTTCCGCCTGCTGCACGGGCAGTACGACGCGCTGGGCGAGCTGCGGCGGGCGCTGCCCAAGGCTTACGCCATCAGCGCCACCTCGGTGCCCGACACCACGGCCCTGCTCGAGTGCCTGGGCCAGATCCGCTCGCTGCTCATCGTGCAGATGGGCCCCGAGGAGGAGAACCTCATGATCCAGAGCATCGGGTCAGTGCCGATGGGAGCCCTCCCTCGGTCCCCTGGGTGTTCCCTGCGTGTCCCCTGGGTGTCCCCTGGGTGTCCCCTGGGTGTACCCTGGGTGTCCCCTGCGTGTCCCCTGCGTGTACCCTGCATGTCCCCTGGGTGTCCCCTGGGTGTCCCCTGGGTGTCCCCTGGGTGTCC